TGAGACACATTGCAGGTATCACTAATATCTCATGCGGTTGCAGCGATAGGCGTGGAGAAGTTGGTTCTGGTGTCTGAGATAACCAGGGAGCAAACTACCTTCCCGAATCATGTGAACGTAGTGGACGATAAGGTTTAAAAAAAAAGTGTTCCTGAAAGAACGATCTTCTGGTCGCTAATGGTAACAGCGAGAAGTTGAAGATTAGGAAAGCGACTCCAAGGCATCCCCGACGACAAAAACGCCCGCAGCACCAAACATACGCTGAGGAAGTAACTCGAGAGATGCTCGAGCACCGAAGGGTCAAGCGCCCATCTTCCCAAAAGGAGCGAAATGTAAACTCTCGGAGGCAATGCTCAAGCGTACTTCCGCAACCGACAGAGTCAGGGATCTAAGAGAATGACGATATCAAAAGGGAGTCTGCAGAAAAGGCAGGGTCAAAACGAACAAAACGGTTATCAAAAAGCTACCGGGCAAAGAACGATAAATCGAGCACCTGATGTCTCTAGCGCAAAAATGCTAGAAGAGCCTCATGGAATCGGGACGCACGAACGTCCAGACTATGGGGATACATTTTTCGAGTGTAAATGGAGTGTCAGCGAAGATTATGCTTAGCTAAATCCAATCAGATCTGTTAATATATAGTCCCGTGGTTTTGAGCTCCCTGCTAGTTTTGTTTTGAGCACACAACCCTCTCGTATATTTCGCACTAAGGAGTGTTCACTAACGGTGTGCGTAAATTTCGCTGATGTCATTTCGAGGTGGACATTTGTATCGAGCGGTTCAAGCGTATCTTTTGAGGTGCTTAGCGTATTTGATTCGTGCGTGTCTCCGTTCAGATTTGTAAAGGCGCAGCACACAATAAATACAACATCGTTCAAAGTTGGCATTTCCTACTCGAGTGCTTTGGCTCAATTACCTTTGCTTTTATGTGGCATTGTGTTGACCGAGTGACGACGGAATTGTTGGGTTTATGGTTTCTTCTTAAGACTTGACCGTTAGAGAAGGGTGGAATTTTTGAAAGCTGGAGAGAGGAAATTATAGAGGGGGGGGGGGTGTTAAGCTCTAATATATAAATGGATTTAGATTGGGACAGTCCACCTCGCAGGAAAGCTGGTGTGAGAATATATTGACTGAAGTGTTTGAACTTTTGGAGGCCTAACAGGGCTTCCAAAAGTTTTCGAGGAAGAGTCTCTCGCCTCCTCCCCAGAATTCTTACCTACTGAAGTCGCGCAATACAGCCATAAGAGTTTCACTGTGTCGACAAATGAAAGCCATATTCATTTTTTACTTACAGTGCGTGTTCACGTGCTCCAAAAATCAGGCATCGCTCCATCCGGTTCATGTAGACATTTTCGCATCTCTGGGAAGTTTCATACGCTACACTCAGCATATAAGCCACGTAAGTAGTCGCGTGTTTCTTTTCACACGGACGTTTTGCTTTCTCATCAGAAATACGGAAGCAACCCCAGCCTACTTCGTTGGGGCACAGGAAACTACGGTCATTTCGTATTTGCTTGCCACTTTTTTTTTTCAGATTGTGGACAACCTTGAAGATGTACCCAATTACTTCTGGTGTCTTAGTTCTGTGCCTCGTTGGGACCTTTCTATATATTACCCTCATTTTTGTAGGAGGGTCTCCGCAACTGAAAGCACGACCAAGCACGGAAGGCCATCCAATTCCAGTCTGGAAATCTGGTATTTAAAGCCAGCACCCACCTGGCGGTAGCACGACTTCAGCAGTACAGATTACAGGCACAAAGCCGCAATGGCCCTCTTAACCGTCTTCAAGCCGTCTGAATCAAAAGAATGTAATTTATGTGCACGAGGCCAATTGACAGAACACAAGCGCCGCTCGTTGGTGGTGGTGTGAATGCCTAAACAATGTAACTGCTTATGTCAGGTAGCTGATGGGTCAAAAATAATCATTTCCCACGTTGTCGAAAAGTCGCCATAACACTTTATACCGTACCAGAATAGACCATAGAAGTGTTTTTTTTTTTTAATACAAGAATATCGTCCACGTATCTGCATGCCTTGCGGAAAGTAGCAGCATCCTAAACACGATCAATTCACAATGAACAGCGGAAGAAGAACTGTTTAAAGCACAGGAGCGACGAATGATTCAGTATCAATGCCTCTGCGCTAAATAAACAGCTTCGCCACAAACGACCTAGATAAAATTACAGTAATGCTATGAAGCTATCGATATAATTTCCGGGAGCATTTCGGAAAGCCACAACGACATTTGCTTCAATACCCGCAGTCAGAAACCGGGACACTTCTTAATGCGGTACCGAATAAATAAAATCTTCTCTATCAATAGAAAAAACGAACACAACATAACATTTATTTCTAAAAATCAGTAACTTCCAACGACTTCGTGGTCTCGAAAGGAACTTCCAGAACTAGTAAATTAAGGTATTTTAACAGGTGACGACTGACTTGTTGTTGCCAAGAACCTTTCTCACTAAAAATACTTCTGAGCTGAAAATCGGTCTTATACGCCTTTACAATAGAAAACGCCTTAAATGTAACATTTGCTGATATCTGACAGCATTTGCGAGTTTTTGGAGCTCTAGGATTTTACACGTAAAAACAACATTACTTTTACTTTAAGCAGTTTGACTTTAACCGTGGCAAAGTTCCTACACGGTCCTTGAATGTGTCAGTCAAGGACCTTGACTGTGTCGGTTATTTGTTCAGAAGTATTGTTAGCGACCAAGGTAATTGGCAACAACAAGTGAGCCGTTATTTGCTAGAACATATTTTTTTCCTTGTTATGGACAACCCGTTCGACATGAGGATGGCGTTGGAAGAGGCTGGAGTTTTAATTGATAAAAGTTATTTACGGTTCGCCTTTTGTATTGATCTGGAAGATTTGTATTATTTAGTGCTGCATGAAGAAATGTCCTGACCTGTTACTGTATGTATTGAAGCAAGATGCGTTGTTGCTTTCCTGAATTTTTTTTTTTTGTATTTCTATGGACAGATGCATAGCATTTAAGAATTTAATGTAGGTAGCCCATTTGTGTCATTGGATGATACGCTGCCTCTTCAGCGTATGGACATCTCTATTTAGTCGTGCGTCGCTCCTGCGCTTTGTAACATTTCCCTTCCGCTCTAGATCGTGAATTGAACCGTGTTTTAGATGATGATAATTCTCTTCAGCGTCTTAGATACGTCGACGATTTTCTTGCATTAAAAAAAAAAAAAAAACAATAACACTTTGCTGACGTAGTTTGACACAGCAGAAAGTGTTTTGTCGGATTTTGGACATATGAACGGTGTATTTTTTGTACCCATGAGCTACCTCACAATAAACAGTTTCAGGTTTTGACACGAACACCGCCATCAACGAGCGACCTTGGATGCATTGGCCTTGCGCACCAGAAAGAGTTTCTCCCTTTTAATTCAGCTCATTCGAATACGGTTAGAGGCACTATTGCGACTTTTTGCCAGGAATCTGCACTGCTGAAGTCTGGTTACCGACAGGTGGGTGCTAGTTTTAGGTACAAAATTTCTAGACTAGAATTGGCTGGCTTTCCGCACTCAGTCTTGGTTTCTGTTGCGGGCAATGTCCTACAAAACATAGAGAGGATTAATAAAAAGGTCCCAACGAGACAAAACAAAAAAAAAAAGAACAACACGCCATTCCGCTACTTTACAAGGTTGGCCACATTCTGAAATGCATTGAAATGAAGCAAGTACGATGCGTCTAAAGTTTGTTCTGCCCCTAATAAGTTGTCTGGGTTTTGCTGCCACACTGCTGATGAGAAAGCGAAACGGCCATGTGATAAGAAACACGTGACCCCTTACGTGGACGTTAGTGGGTATAGCGTATCAAATTGTTCCCAGTTGTGGAAGATGTGCATCGACCAACGAACACGCGATCGATCACGTGAACACGCAATGTGAGTAAAAACAAATATGGCTCGCATTTGCCAATATATTGAAATAATTTGGCTGTGTCCCACGACCTGAGCACATAAGCATAGTGGGGAGAAGAAACTAATCTCTCTGACAATTGCTGGATCGCGTTTGCGCGCTCCGCGAATGCGGCCACTGGCGGCCATCCTTTTGGTGGAGTTATATTATTTCTAGCCAATGTAAGCAGCTGCAGCCACTATCATCCATCCAGGGCAGACAGCGTTGCGGTAGTTGGGGTGGCAGGCTGCCATCAAAATAGCGTGGGTGATATTTCGTGCTTGATTGAAATTGTTTGACAAAACATATTTTTGAAACCCGGCGTGAACGGTAGCTCGATCTTTGAGGACCCGGTGAAAGTTTCACGAAATCGCAGCACCAGAGAAAAGCAGCACAGCACGCATCAAAAGCAGACTCCGTACCGGAGTCTGCTTTCGATGGTAGCTGCGCTGCCTTCCCCCGGTGCTGCGCTTTCGTAGAACTTTCGCCGGGTCCTCAAAGATCGGGCTACCGTTCACGCAGGGTTTCAAGAATCTGCTTCGTCGAACAACTTCAATCGAGCCCGAAATATCACCTACGGTGCAGTGTGCTAGATTCACGGTTATTTTGTGGCAGCATGCCGCCATTGCGCTGTTCGCCATGTTACTATGATGGCTTAAGATAATATAACTCTACCAAAAAGATGGCCTACCGTGGCCGCATTCCCGTCCATAGGCGGGGCTGGCCGCACGCGATCCAGCAAATAGACATAGAAATCGGTGGGAGAAGCCATGATACTGTGGCTCGTAAACGTTTGGGGCGTTTTTTCATTAAGAGATGTGGGACGGTATGTTTCAGTGACTCCTCAGTTGTGCTTCTTGAAAATCATCTTCAGTTATTGTACCGATCAGCTACCCACTTAGTAGCTGTGCGTGTTGCCGCTTTCTTTATGTATATTAGCTTTGCTTTTTTTTTTAGTAAAAAAAGTTGAAAGTTAGCGCTTGTTCTGTTCACTTCGTGTCCCTCTCTTTTCTTACGCTATTTTATATGTTGAAGTAATAAGACTGCTACTACCTTTAAGCAATTACTCTTTCAACTTTCAGACTCAAATGAACAATCCTCCATTCAAAAAGGTAAGACGTTTTCTCCTTTGTCGATGCACACCGTAATAAGGAAGGAGTTAGTAGGGAGTTTTAGGGAACCGTCTTTGCACATCTGATACCGTACGATGGGCCCTCCTTGACAAAATGGGCGTGTGCGGGTCACCTGTTCTTGGGCATGCGCAGTGCCTATCAGATGTGCGAAGGCGGTTCCCTAAAACCCTCTATTAGAAGCATTTAGGGAACCGTTTAGCGTTTCCAATCGGTTCGGATATGATCGATGCAATCGCCAAAATGACGCGTGGAAAAACGTGTGCGCGCTCTCGTGAAGCGGCCGCCGCCCATATTTCAATCTACTTAGTAGCTAACAATATACCCTGTCGACGTAACGCCTCAGGAACATGTGTCCACGAAACATCGCAGTGTCGACAAAATGCCTGTGTAATGAAGGTTGTCGACTAAACGTGTTTTCATTGCAAGTGTTTTTACGGTACGATACGGTTTCGCTGCTATAAAATAGGCGTCTGATGAAGTAAAGGGTCTTTTCTATTTTGCCTTTGATTTCAGAGACAGCGTAAGAAACAGGTTTAATTGCCTAGCTCGTTTGGTTTCCAAGCTATAACTGTCCACGCGACTTACTCGGATTTTTTTTTTCTTTTGCGTCCATTTTTCTTTTACAGTCCGGATGGTGGCAACCAAAAGAAAATGTTCATTGTACTCATACTTCTTTTGGCTGTCGGCGGTGCCATCGTCTTGGCCACAATCATCTTCAGCGGCTCAGGTAAGATGTCTGCGCCTTGTTCGTCCATGAGACAGAAAATCGAGCTGCAGTGATAATTCGTTTCACGGCAAATTGGCAAAGAGCAAACGCCCTTTGCAATGACAGCAACGGAAACCAAGCACGCACCATTTTCGAGCAGTGACCGCAGTTTGGGGTTTGTTTGCAAACTACAAAGCACGGGAAGCACAACATGCCTCCGCCCGTCAGAACGCAGTGACATCGTGGCGTTGCTCTGGTTTTCAACGTATGGTGCAATGCTTTGTTTAATGTTTCAATGCATTGGCTTTTGACGCTATGGAACGGGACGTGTGTGGCATCTTCTAAAGGTCATGATAACGCATTCCCTAAAGATTCGCCAATTGATCTTTCTTTATTTTCATTATTTACAATAACTGAATGAAAATTTTCCAGCTAAGAATGCGTAATTAGTTGTTTTTTTTCTTTTTTTTTATGATTATGCTGGTACGATACAACCTGATTTGTTGATATTCTGAATGGAGTGGACAAAACATATTGGGCAGACATAGGCAGTCTTGTCAACGTTACGAGAAAAAAAAAGTAATCAGTTAGACGTAAATTTATTCAAATGAAACTTTTAATTAGATTATTTAATTACTCGAGAAGAACAGGAATTGTCCGCTACTTGACAATGGAGCCGTTACTTTCCCGTTCACTTAGGAATATTAAAACGACAGCTTTTCGGTCGTGCCGGTTTTAAAACAGTGCACTATTCGTTACTGCACATTACTATATTAGAATCGGTGAAATATAGACTACTTAGCTACTTAATCATCCCGTTTTTGTAAAGGATTCTCCTGGACAAAGTTTTGCAAACAGGGCGACCTTAGTCAGAAGCAGCAAAGAATAATGCTTATAAGAAATTTTAGTAATTCCCAAACTCTTCGGATTACTCATGTGGTCACTTCTTAATAAATGTAACCAAGCGATTACAAAAGTACCACGAAAAGTCACAGACTACAAGTAACTTGATCCCTTGGAATGTGTATCACACTCGCCTGAGCATGGCGCTTGGCGAAACACACAAGAAATATTAAGATAAACTAATTTCTTTTTTTATTCATTGATTGTAATGAACAACAAAAGTAATGTGAGTGGAACCTGTATCATTATTAAATAATCAAAAATCGCACAAAAAACTTCATTTTCAAGCCGATATAAAACGTTTACTTTCATAAATATAAAAACACCGCCTTCGCACCAAACCCAAATAGATGCTTCCCAGTCTGAACTCTCAGAAAGAAAGTATTCAAATGTAACAAGCTTATGGATTGTAAAAAGTTTCCATAAATATATAACGACCACCAGGGTAATGATGACAACTCCACACGCGTAGTAAAAACGCCGGCGGTCAAAACTGGCCTTGCACAACACACAACAACATGGCGGGTGATGAGCAACGTCGAATTCCTCGGTACGCTCTACCGAACAGCCAAAGGTGTCCGGACGAGTGAGTGAATAGAGCACATATGCGTAATACACGTTTCCCCAGTGCGATCGTACACTCTGAACACCCGTCCCCAGACACCACTACCTTGCCTATATCCAATAAGGATGAGAGTGTGGCCTGCCGGAATCGGCGCGATTGAACACGACGGCGTCTAGCCAGATTTACTGGATTTGTCCCGCCGACGGAGAACGCTGAAAAGAAAAAATCGCTACGCGTGGAATGGGCGCGCTGTCTTTATTGAACTGAACGTATTCGTGTCGTAAGTGACGACGAATACGCTATCGCTATTTTTATTGCGAAAGCACGATCCAGTCCATGAAGCGGAGCCAGCGGCGTGTTTAACCGGAAAATGCCTGCGTAATGAAGGCTGTCGACTAAACGTGTTTTCATTGGAAGTGTTTTTACGATACGATACGGTTTCGCTGCTAAAACATAGGCGTCTCATGAAGTGAAGGGTCTTTTCTATTTCAAATCAAATCAAATCAAAGTTTATTTAGACAACCGTCGAGGAATACAGCTGTCTGGGGGGCCGTCTGGGAGGCCGCCTTTGATTTCAGAGACAGCGTAAGAAACAAGTTTAATTGCCTAGCTCGTATGGTTTCCAAGCTATAACTGCCCACGCGACTTACTCGGATTTTTTTTTCTTCCTTTGCGTCCATTTCTTTTTTACAGTCCGGATGGTGGCAACCAAAAGAAAATTATCATTGTACTCATACTTCTTTTGGCTGTCGGCTGTCGGCGGGCACAAAAGAAATGCCCATTCTATCATTGGCTCAACAAAACGGTGCCTAGATAGACATTTGCGGCCGTTTCACGAGAGCGTGCGCTCGTCCTTGGCCCTCGTGTCAGGCGTTTCCGTAAAAGGAGAGGGGGGGGGGGGGGGGGGGGGCGAGCTGCGGCTGCATCAGGGGAACGCGCGCTCGGCCGCCGCTCTAGGCCGCCGGCCCCAACAACGGCAGTAGCGAAAGGTGGCCGTATGCGCCAGTACACCGCAGAAGAACCATGCAGGCGGAAGAGGCAGATTCATGCTTTAACATTCAGAACTCATAATAAGTGCTTAAATGTCCTCAGATTTTTTTTTTCAATCGCCGCTTGATTTTGGTTGCGTTTACCGACCTGGTTATCTATTCGTGCGCGTGTGTGCGGCGCGCCTGCACTTCGCAACTCTTGGACAAAGAGCGAGCATATAGGCAGCTGGATGGCACAATTACTATTTTTACCGAACTGAGAGGTAGGCAGGGTAGGGAGGCCAGAAGGCCAGCAGCTTGTAAATCAATAGACACATCCCAGCACAACGGTCAACTACTTGAATCAGGGGGAAGCAAGTGCCACCTAAAAAAGTGTAGTAGTAACCGCTAGTTGGTGCAAAAAAAAAGTGGAAGCTGCTTACAACTCCCTGTAACGCCGAATTAGAGCGCAGCTCTTGAGGAGGAGGAGGGAAGGGCACTAGGTGGGGGGCTAAACTAACCAAGGGGGGGTCACGTGACCTTGGGGGTCACGTGACCCCCAATGCCGATGATGTCATCACTGAGGTCACTGATGACGTCATCATTGACGATCACGATGCGAGTACCGATGACGTCATCAGTGACGTCACTGATGACTTCACCAGTGATGATGACGATGACGATGCGGATGTCGGTAACGTCATCAGTGATGATGACGATGACGATGCGGATGCAGGTGACGTCATCAGTGATGATGACGATGACGATGCGGATGCCGGTGACGTCATCGGTGACGATGACGATGACGATGTGGATGCCGGTGACGTCATCAGTGACGATGACGATGACGATGTGGATGCCGGTGACGACATTAGTGACGTCACTGATGACGTCATCAGTGATGATGACGATGACGATGCGGATGTCGGTAACGTCATCAGTGATGATGACGATGACGATGACGATGACGGTGACGTCATCAGTGATGATGACGATGACGATGTGGATGCCGGTGACGTCATCAGTGACGATGACGTCATTGGGGGTGACGCGACATCGGCGGGGGTCACGTGACCTCAGGGGAGTCACGTGACTTCGGGGGGTCACGTGATCTCGGGGGGTCACGTGCCCCCCACGAGGTCACGTGACCCCGGTGGGGGGCTCGCGCGGTGCATTATGGGACATTTTCCATGATGCACTGGGGTCACGTGACCTCGGGGGGGTCACGTGCCCCCCCACGAGGTCACGTGACCCCGGTGGGGGGCTCGCGCGGTGCATTGTGGGACATTTCCCATGATGCACCGCGCGGTTACGCCGACGCCGACGCCGCTCAAGCCGGAAACGGGCCCCTAAGAGCTGCGCTCTAAAAACAACAGTATTTCTTTTTTATGTGGGACATTTTGCGGCAGCACACTCATACACGAGCACATACAGCATACCTGCCCAAGGCGAACACCAAGCAACATACCGAACAGAGGTACAAGTATATCTTAGTCAACACTATAACACAGAAACAACTCCAACAGAAAGACCCGGGGAATCCTTATACCAACACGCTACCGACCCGATTCGTGTATATGTCCTATCCTTTCTGAAAAAAATTAGGCTAGTGATTGCCACTTTTTGCTAGAAGAATACGAAGGGTGTTTGCAGCTAATATTAATATACAAGTGGTATGTTTATTTAAATTATCAGGCTAGGGACCTCTCTTAATCACTGCTTGGAAAGGCAACATGATATAAAATGAATCACTTATAGTCACAACCCAAGGCATGCTGAAGATGAGTTTAGGTTTGAAATTCACGCAGTGATAGGCCATGTTGCCCCATGCTCGTTCCTGGCGCCTAATAACATCGCAAGTTAGACCAATCTCTGAATTGATAGTCTGATAATTCTCAGTCTTATGGTGTTCAATTAGTTCATAAAATAACTGTGGCTAAGGTCGGTTCACGTGACATCCGTCTTGTAAGAGGGGGTCTGCGTTCATAGGTGGCTTCTACTTGTTCTGTTTTTTTGTTTCCATACCCTGCCGGTAAGACTCAGCACGTACAATAAGTCAATTATAGCCGGCAAGCTCTGAACATACTTTGCAGTTATTTTGTAGTTGTGTGCTTCTATCATTTACGTCTGCCTGCACAATAATATCTAACTCTAAAGTGGCCTTCCCGTCCCTCACCCCCCCCCCCCCCCCTCCTCCACACCACCCGTCATCACCTGCAGGTAAGTGGTCATTTTGCAGCGGTTTGGGGTCGTCACTTTGCCCAGATGCAGGGTCTCGGTCTTAGGGGCAGTCAAGCTTCAAAGAAGCCATTTAGACTACCCCAAGTAGTCATTTTTTTTTAGTGTGCGCATTCAAAATTTGGTTGTGATAGGAAATTATTAATTGTGCCAATTTTCCCGCGTACTGTGTAAGAATTCCCCAAAAGTAGATTAACAAAAAGGCGTTCAATAGTTGCCACAAATATGTAGGCCGACTCTTTTGGCAGCAAAAAAAATTGTTCTGTTATAAGTTTTTGTGAGAAATTGAAGCTACATTATTCTTGCGACGGAGAGCAGACAGCTAGGCCTACTTCTCAACATAAATGAGACGTCGCGCGACGTGAAAATTTGGAAAACCGCGCACAGACAAATGGTTCAAATTTATACCGTTCTAGTTAACGTCCCCAGATAACGCTATGTGAGGTAGCGAAACGATTTCCCCCGCCGTCCTCCCCTCCCTCGTAGCGTCTGCTAGCGCGCGGTCCGCCATGTTGTTCCTTACTCGCCCTCCACGGCTGTGTTCGAAATCCTCCGAGTTAATTCGGCGGGTCGTGTCACGTGACAATCGAGTTAGAACAACGCTGGACCTGGGTAAGTACACGAACGCCAAGGTAGCGAACCGTTGCTCGAGAGTGTGGTCAAGCAAAATCTGCCATGATCTTCCTCACCAGAAACTCAACGCGGGCACGGACCAGTGGGAGGGCGCGTCGGCACATCAATCGCTGTCGCTACTTAGCAAAGCGTTCGATGAAGAGACTTCAGTTCTAAGTTGCCGGGAGGCATTCAAAACTGTATTTGAATAAATAAGCGATTACAGCAGGAATTTATTTTTTATGCATTAATTGTAACGATTGAAGGATAATAAGATGCTTATAACTCGAGATCATATTTTTTGACAAATATTGACATACTACGATCCGCATCTACTCTTAAGCTGTCAGCCACTAGAGGTGTGCTGTGGTTTAGCTTGAGCTTCAAACAGTGTACCGCTAGGGACAGTTCAGAGATCCACCGAGGATAACGTCATGAGCAGGCCTTGATCTCTAGGCGGCATAGATTGCGCTCACCCATGACGTCGCGTGCTTTGTCCCATTCAGGGGACGTTGTGGATGAAGAGGAAGCCGACAAATCCGGTGGCGGAGGCACAAGCGGAGGTGGAGACGGCGGCTCAACCGGAGGTGGAGGAGGAGGCTCAACCGGAGGTGGAGGCGGAGGCCCGACCGGAGGTGGAGTCGGAGGTGAAACCGGTGGTTCAACCAGTGGTGGAGGCGGAGGTGCAGCCGGAGGCCCAACCGGAGGTGGAGCCGGAGGCTCAACCACAGTTCGAGGCGGAGGCGGAGGCGGAGGTGGAGCCGGAGGTTCAACCACAGGTCGAGGCGGGGGTGGAGCTGGACGTTCAACCACAAGTCGAGGCGGAGGTGGAGCCGGAGGTTCAACCACAGGTCGAGGCGGAGGTGGAGCTGGACGCTCAACCACAAGTCGAGGCGGAGGTGGAGCCGGACGTTCAACCACGGGTCGAGGCGGAGGTGGAGCTGGACGTTCAACCACAAGTCGAGGCGGAGGTGGAGCCGGACGTTCAACCACAGGTCGAGGCGGAGGTGGAGCTGGACGCTCAACCACAAGTCGAGGCGGAGGTGGAGCCGGACGTTCAACCACGGGTCGAGGCGGAGGTGGAGCTGGACGTTCAACCACAAGTCGAGGCGGAGGTGGAGCCGGACGTTCAACCACAGGTCGAGGCGGAGGTGGAGCTGGACGTTCAACCACAAGTCGAGGCGGAGGTGGAGCCGGACGTTCAACCACAGGTCGAGGCGGAAGCGGTGGCGGCAGCTCTCTATCGCCCTCCCTCCCCGTGGTCACCACAACGCCTAAAGGTAGAGCCAACCGTCTCGGAGAGCGTTTGATCTAAATTTCTTACGCACTTCGCAACGGCGTCGAGTCCTGTTCGGCAATCTTTGCGGTCAGATCTTCTGACCAAATTAATGGTCGTTCCCCTCAGAAACTATTTTGGACGCATGGGCCACAGAAAAGTAAGATTATTTCGGCGTAAAAAGATAACATCTCACACTGAACGTAAGTAGAGCAAAGTCCGGAGGATTGTTTGTGCACAAACTCCTCAACGACGTTTGCGGCCGAGCGGCCCCGCGGCTCCGCGGCTTCTGTCTTGCGCAGTCGTTTCATCTTCATCACTACTTTCACACAAGTCTCAAAAGGCGCCCCTTCATCATCTTCCGGAGGGATATAATCGTCCTCTTAACTGAAATCGTCACATTGAATTATATCACGCATAGCAGGGCTGGAACGTGGCCATCCCTTGTGCCAGCCAAATTGAAATTTCGCGCTCCTCCGTTTTTTAGGCTGTTTAGGAATAGTTCTGCCTCCTATAAGGAAAGCTCGAACTCTTTGAAGAGTGAAGGAATTGAGGTGTTCACGAAACGTTCCAAGAGATGGCGCCACCAATCCAGCCAAAAAGAGCGAAGGAGCACGTTTAAAAGGACGCGGGATTGCGTGTCGGGCCATGCCCGACTCTTGACTGGAATTGCGTCTCTCCGATGTCGGGCGTGGCCCGACACATGACCGCAAAGGTTAAGGCAGCAGCTACCGTCACACCGCTGCGCTGGCGCTGCCGTCGGCAGCACGCGTGCGCACACGCATCGCCTTTTGTACTTCGCGCGTTAATCTACAGACCACGACGAGCGTGGTCAGCACTGCGCGTGCGCAACAGCCAGATGCGCTACGGATGGCAGTGCCGAAAGGTGCTCCACCGCGGTGATTTCATTTTATTCCATTTATTAAACCTTGAGTGCTCCGGGGGGCAGTACAGAATTGGGGTGAAATACTAAACACAAAGTAGCAGTTCAGAAGATTAAATACAAGGTAGAGACAGGAGATTAAATACAAGGTAGAGACAAAACTGATAACATCCGTCCGAAAAATACAACATCGAAGTAAGGGCAACACATGCTGAGTCAGCTCTGCAAGAAATAATGCCTGATCTGTAATTGTTACAAGGGATTCTGGTAGTGAAATCTAGTCCTTTATGACAAAAGGGAAGGGTAGTTTTTTAAACTGTCTGTTCTGGCAAAAGGTAGTTCGAGCTTGTGGCAATGATCATGACGGAGGGAGACACGATTTGCTGGTGAAAAGAACTCACGGTCAGTCCAGGGTTTATAAAAGAGGTCGTGAAAAACCAAAACGATAATCTCTCTACGGTGCGCCTATTCTCAATAGCAGCTAAGGACATTGAGGTGTTGAGAACAGAAATATTCGTGGGTGAATAGGCGCGAGGGATGAATCTAATCGCGCGGTTTTTACTGATTATGACATGTGGGAAAGGTAAGTCTGATGGGTGTTCCATAGGGTAGGTGCATATTCCAACCTGGATATAGCACGTGTGCAGTATGACAGCTATATGATCTTCGGTGAGGCTTAACGTCGGTCGTGACTAAGGAATCCTAGAGTTTTATGACCACTTTCAGTTATTTTTTCGATGTGTGCTTAGGTACACGCCAATTGGTACAAGGCCAACAGTTTAGGTACACGCCAAGGTATTTGAAAGGGCGGTGAAACGAAAATCAGTTGGAACGTTTATCACTTTACATGTGCTTGCTGGCACTTGTGGGGCTCAAGGATACTCGCACTCAACGCCACTGTCCAAGAAAATTATTTGTTGCTATGTAATATCAAGGACAAAAGCGAGCGTTTACATTCGATCTCTCCTTCGCAAAACTTGAAGACGTAGCTGGGCGGCCGCAGTTCCGCCTTGGGAAGTTGGGACGATATTTGAATACGGCTCATAGACTAGAGCTCCATTTGGGGTCGTGATAATTGATAGCTCGAGTAGCATTCGGGTAGTGGCCGATGTCCAATTGCTCCAATGACGACAATAGCCGAGCCACAACAATGTCTGGAACTCATTTCGTGTCCAGTGTCTTGCCAACTACAGCGTGAGGCTATGATCAACAATGGCGGCGCATAATCGGCTCGAGATCACGAGGCCGCTTGCTCTGAAAGTGAGATGAGGGGGGGGGGGGGGGGGGGGGGGTGAACGCTGCCCGTTTTTCTTTATTCTTTTCTGAAACTTCGATTGCGTGTGGTGAAAAATGAACAGGTGTTTCACGAGTCATTCATGTCAGAGCTCCGTTCTAAGCGGTATTTGCGCAAAGTACAAAAATCGTTGCATCGCCTCTTCAAAAGACGAAACCTGTTTTGCTGGTTGCGATATGAGTTGATAATTATAATTTACTGGATTCCGAGATTTAAAAAAGATACACATTTACATTTCTATGAATAAAAGACATGAGCCAATCATCACTCCATATTTTATTTATTCTTTGGTCTCGTTTAATGCTAGGCAATCATCTTTACTAGTCATAGCACAATAAATAAAAAGGTCATCAGCAAACAGACGAACACAACTTTCCAGGCGATAACCAACTTCATTTATGTGAACAAGAAATAGTAAGGTGCCCAGTACAGCACCCTGAGGCACCCCTGAAATAACTGGTAAAGATTGCGAAGAGGCTTCACCCAGACGCACAGATTGAGTTCTAGTCTTAAGAAAAGTACTTATCCAGTCCATTAACATAGTATTAATATTAAACTATTTTAATTTTGTGATTGGTCCATATTGGGGAGCTCGGGCTTTTGAAAAGCCTATAAATACAACATTCATTTGTTTAAGTGAGTTGAGTTTACTGTGAGTATCGGTAACCAACTCGAAATGCTGCGTAATACGTGGTCGTTTTTTTTTTTTTTTTTTTTTTTTTTTACGATATACATGCTGATTAGAAAATTATATATTGTTTGCATCCGAAAATGCTTTAATTCTTGTAAAAGAAGCATGTTTCAATATTTTGCTACAAACACTTGTTAAGGAAATCAACTCCAACGTAGAAAATCCTAGGCTGGCTTGTCGCACATCCGGCTACGCAAAAAAGAGCGGGGCGAGCTACCGGTGTCAGGATTTCTGTTGCTCTCGAAATGATGTCCACATCATTTGTTTCAAAGTAGTTCAGTTGCTTGACGGCCAAGAGAAAGGTAAGTTGCCGCGTCAAGGTGGAAGTGATACCTTTCCCTCGGTCTCAGAGAATTTCGCGTGGGAATCCCTTCCGGGAAAACATTTCGACGAGTCCCTCCTCGACCGTCGAAACGCGGTGCCGCCACTGCGGTGTGCCGCGCCCAACGAGGTAGAGGGGCTTAGAGTGATAAACCGGAAGTTCCAAAGTGGCACCCCCCCGGTTGCCGCCATGTTTTACGCAAATGTGACCACTCGTCACGTGACCTCACAAGAGCCGTGACGTCGAAGGTAAGATGGCAGCGGCCAGAGCAGGCGGATGCGAGTTTGTTCGGTGCGCGGCAGCCGCGGCAGCCGTGATGTGCAGCGGCTTTCCGACGATTTCGGGCTTTTTCGTGCTCGCTGGCGCAGGCATGATGTGAAAATATGAAGAAATGAAACTTTATACCCTTTTTGCGCAAGATCGCTCCGGATCATCTGGATATTTACACCTGTGAGACATCATCAGGCGTATCGCCGTACCGGTGCTCGGATTCCGGGATGTGTTCGAGGATTGATAGAACTTTGAGTGCTTTTAGCATGAAATTTTCGCGTTCTCTTAGCTTTGTTTGAACGTTGAAATGTCTATGAATCGACGCGAAACGTATACGTCGCGTTAGGGCCTAGGAGAAGTTGTTTCAGGCCTGCGTCACCGAATAACCATAGCAACTTTTAGCGAGGAAGCTATTGCGATCTTTTACCCTTTGTGCTAATTGACGATTCTACATTCGATTGCCTTTCTTCCTTTTTTGGTGAGTGCGAAGTGCACACTCATTTTCAGCTACGAGGATGACGTTTTATTCAGTGTGGGAATGAATAAATCGTTGCAGGCACCTGCTTCAAAGGTATTTGACTTGCAATAAGAAGAACTGTTTTGGTGTATGCATAGATTAACTGCACCTTTTTTTCTTTCGTAGGATTTATAGCAGCAATACTTTTTTTCATCAAGAGTGCATTGTATTAGTCAGTCAATTATTTACTTGTTCTAATTACCTGGATAAGATGATTCATATTTCTGTTCATCCCTTGCCTGAAGAGCAGTCTAGTTGAAAAATGTTGACCATTCCTTTCGGTCTCTTTAATAGCCTTTTTGAAAAAGTGTGAGTTGCCTATAATTTGTA